TGCAGGGCTCAGGCCAGTGCACAGGGAGCTCCTGGAGCAGAGATCTATGAGAAGGGAAGAGGGACAGGGGAAGAGACAGCCCCATTTTCTCTAGGGAAAGGAGCATTACAAGCACCAAAAGCTGACAGGCTCAGAACTAATGGTCTGAACTCGCTGTTATTTAAAAACTGGCTGCCTGCTGTTTTCATCGCAAGCCCCACTCTGACTTGCAGCAACATTTAAAATTAAATATACATAAGTGCTTTCAAAGAACTGTTAATTTGAAGGTCATTAGATGGCATAAAATACATTCCTTTTTTTTTTTTTTTCTAGAAAGAGGCACATAATAATGCTATTAATACATGCTCCTCTTCCACGTTCAAAAGCTCCCTCTCGCTTTGGATGTGCGAGTGGCTGAGTTCACCTTTGCTTGCAGCGGCACGACACCTCATTTTAATTACTGCTATTGAGAAAGCTGCTGCTGCCTCCTCCATCGTGCACGGCACAGCCCACCAGGGATGGGGTTGTACAAAAGACACAGCAAAGCCCTGGGGGAAAAGATGCAGCTGAATTGCCAGTGGGGGCTTTTGTGGGGGGATGCAGGGAGCTACACAGTGAGGCTGGCACTGGAGGATGCAGAAGGGAAGGGGCAACATGAAGACAGCTGTCAACACCTAGTCCAGATATGATCACCTTGCCCATTCATTCTCACACCAAGACCTGGGTGCCAAGCTCCCACCAAGCCAAGAGCACGGTTTTTGTAGCAAAATTCCCTTTTTTTGATGTAATATTACATGCAAAAAAAGACAAAGCCAACATGGATACACACAGAAAAGACACAAAAGGGCTGAGGTTTTTGCAGTTGCCATAGGAATGTAGAGAAGGAGCTGACAACTGCCAAGCATTCCTGTGAAAGGACAGGAGCGCAGCAAGCACGAGGTGGGCTCACTCGAAGGCAACCCGGGCAAGCAGCTGCATCCATGTGCTGCTCCTCAGCACAGAGGCAGGATGCAGCCAGAGGAGTAAGGTGCCCTGGATGAGCTTCAGGTACAAGAGGTGGCCGGTGGCCAGGATCTGCCCCAGCAGGGTCCACCAGCAAAGGGCACCTCCCAGCACTAGCACGTATCAGATGACTCTACCAGGAGCCTATGTGATGGATAAAACCCAGCCCAGAGGAAAGGCCTGCAAGGTTGGTTCATTTTTATCAAAACCACCTTTTTCTTCCTTTTATTTCTGTGCAAACCAAAACTGGAGGGGGCGGATTATTTTTGAGCCATCCTTTACCCTTTGAGATCTAAGAAAGGAACTCTAATGGATCAGAAGAAGACACGAAACAGGAGCTTTCATTTTTAGACCACAGCTAGTGGTTTCGCTTTTCTTCTTTTCACTGGTTCTTTCCCCACATTTGGCAGAACTGATCCATGCTGGCAAAACATCCAATGGATCCAAAATTGCATCACTCCTCAGTGCACAAAAACACAGCCCCAGGTTCCACCACTGCCTGTGGCTTCTGCCCCATCTCTGCACAAGGCAAAGTAAGAGCTTTTCGACCGCTTCTCCATGACATTGCTAATGAAGGAAACTTCTCAAATGACCTGGACAATGCAACCAAGCACCCAGGAGTCTCCTGTTGACACAGAGAACTGAACGTTGGCAGCAAGCCTTGACTTAGACAGCACCTCTTTCATGGAGCCCTGCACCTCCTGCCCTGGTGAGACCTTCCTCCTTGGCATCTGAAGAAGGAAAAGAACCAGTCCAAAGACACATAACCATACTATCAAGACCAGGCAGGGATAAAGCTATTATTCCTGGACAGAAAGATTTTGTGGAGCATGGGGAAGGCTGCATGAGGCTAGCCCCAACACAGCCCTTGACTCACAGCACAGCTCCATTTTCCTTGCCTTCCAGCCTAAAAGAAGAGCAGTCAAGTGCTGGGCTGAGTTAGCCATCATCAGGGCACAATGAAGGTTTGGAAGAATTCCCACAAATTTTAAGAGGTCAGGATGGACCCTTCTCCTGTTCCCTATGTTTGCACTATACAAACATGGTGCCACTCTCAGCCAAAAGCCTCTCCCTCCTCCATCAGAGGCAGTCCTGGGGCACAGATGTGCTTCCTTCCCATGCTGACACCAGAGCGCGACTTCCTCCCCAGCCAGAAGCCTGCCTGCAGCCATCACGCCATGGGCAGGGCAGCAGCAGCACTTTGTCCATGGGTGTTTGGCAGCTCAGGTGAGCTGAGGGCCAGGGAAGGCCACGACCATCATCCACCCTGGGAAATCGAACCAAGATGTAAGGACTCAGTATCTCTGAAAGCATCTGAGCACATCTGAACAGCCGTTTTATCCACTCGTGGGTACCCAGTCTGCTGGGTTGGATGGGCAGGACTGAACACATCACGTTACAGTTTTTAGGCTAAGACAGGGCTGCGGTGCCATCACATTGTCCCTCCACCCAGGAGGATGTGGACTGCAGGACCAGCTGCCTCGCAGGTGCCTGCACGGCTGAACGACACACAGCAGGGGAGTCATAAAGGTGGAGTTTTGATCTTTAGCCTGCGTTGCTGTCATTCGCTTCTTTAAATGCCTTTAGCTTCCTTCTAATAAAAGAGAAATCATAAAAAACCCACAAAGGATCCTTCACTGCCAGCGAATATCAATGTGGTGAGGCAGTGTATTAGCATGCACGGCACCCGCTCCATCTGCATGTTGTATTCCGTGTGACAACATCCTGGAATACAGATTTAGGCCGCGAGTATCCCAAGAGGTATTAGCGATCGTCTATCAGACAGGATGAGGAGCAGTCCCTGCTGTTGTAAACAAGGGGTGTTTTTCTCTGTCTCTTTCTCTGGGGGAAGTTCAGTGATTTGAAACAAGCTCATTCCTGCATCTTGTTAGTTCCTGTTCTTCTGCAGAGCAGTGGGTCATCTTCTTCAGGCAATTAAAGAACTAAAATTGCAGATGTAAAAAGCACCCCATCACCAGGATCCTTCATCTGCTGGTGATGTCAGACACCATGCTCCCAAACCAAGTGCACGCTCCCACAGGACAATGTGTGCCCCCCTAAGCAGAGAGCACCCTGATGGTCTCAGCACAGGGGACAATGCTCACACCCAGGACATGTGGACAGGCACTGGCAGCAGGCAGAGGAAGGGCTTGTCCCTTGCATTTAGTGGCAACAAGCAAGCTTGTTGGGGCATCTCGATGGCATAGATGGATGTTCGGCAATCCGATGGTGCAAATGGACATGGAGCAACCTGATGGTGTGGATGGATGTGGGGCATCTCCATGGCAAGGACAGACAAGGGAGAAAACCCACAGCCCAGGTGGACATAAAGCATCCTCTAGGCACTGACGGACAGGGCATCCCCATTGCACAGTCAGATGTGGGCACCTCCACAGCACAGACACAAGTCATCCCTTCAGCACAGCTGGACGTGGGGCATCCCCATGGCCCAGGAGGATGTGGTACATCCAACATAACATGGATGCAACACGGTGCAAGCATATGTGGGGCATCCCCACAGTGGGGATGGATGCACAAAGAGGACACAGGGTTTCTCATACATATATGAACCACTGAATGAGAGCAGGGACCAGCAGCCCACGAGGCACAGTGGGCAGCCTGCCCACACCACCACTCTCCCTGCCATGCGGGTGCTGCTTGCTGCCAGTGCAATGCCTGCAAGACCACAGTGATGGATCATTACAGCTCGCACACAAGCATCTAAGTAAAAGCCTTATTAAGAGTTCATTCATTTTATAAACTCTCAGCGCGATCCACAGAGGGAAGTTAGATTGCCCAGTCTTACAATATTCTGTGTAAACACTGACATGCGTCTAGTAATTTTAACTAGATCAATTTGCAAAGGAGACCGACAGTGGAACAAAAAGAAAATCAAATTAAACACAGGGAAACATTCACTGGAAGAGGCTTTAAGGAAGCAAGTAGTAAAACACAGAGTAAGGACGGATGGATAGATAGAGACACACACAAGACTAATGGACCTACCTCTGAAGCCATGAAACCTAAGTCTGTAAATCAATGTCAAAATCCTTAGGTCCACAAGATGGGGAAAAAAGTTCTCCATAGCCATCTTCTGTGCATCGCCGAGGCTCGGGAGGCCTTAGCAGTCTGTTTCCCAGAGCACCTCTCCTCCTTCTCCAGCAGTCACCAACCCAGTCACAACCACGCAGCGGCTCCTCCAGTCCCATCCCGTCCCCGTTGCGCCGGCCAGCCCTCGGCATCCTCCGTGCTTGCAGGATGCTTCGCCGTTGGGCACTTCCCTGCTCCCTCCCACTCCTGGGAGCTGTGGGCACAACCCCTGTTCCCCCCTGGGCTGGGGACCAGCCGGCTGCTGGCCGCAGGGTCAGTGGTGATCTTCGGTTACGGACAAGCAGTGAGTCCACGGTAGGGTAACGACGTACACACGCGCATGAGCGCACACACACACGGGAACACCTCTTTCTGTTTTCCAGGATGGATTGGTATTTTTTCAATCCTTTTTTTTTCCTTTCCTTTTTGAAAAAAGAAGAAAAAAAAAAACAAACAAAAAACAAACAAAAAGGCAAGCAAAAGAGAAAAAAGAAAAAAACAAAAGAACCAAAAAACACAAAAACCCCCAAGGTTTTCTATTGAAGGTACATCACTTCTTCAATATGAAGACATTAACTGGATTGAGTCGGATTCTCCATGCAGTGGTCAGCGAAGTCCTTTGGTAGTTGCTGGAGCAGCACCCGGGTGGGACAGCAGGGAGCTGTGGAGAAGTCTTGAGGACACTTCCGCCCAGTCCATGAGCAGAGAAGGGAGTGGGGTGAGCAGGGAAGGACAGGGCAGGGAGGGAGGGCAAAAGAAGAAAAGAAAAGGAAGGTAGTTTCTCCAGATGGGATGCTCCATCTCATGCCTCTCCCTTCTCCCTTCTCAGTTTCGACCACTGCTCACTGGTGGTGGGATTGGAGTCTGGTCTCTAGGGTTTGGGTTTGTTTTCCCAACGCACATTGGTTTGTCTTCATTGTTTTTCTGTGTTTGTTTTGTTTTTTAAATATATGATTTGTACATATTTATATGTATTTATACGCTGTTCCCCATGACATTGGTAAGTGTGCTTTTGTTGGTGAGGAACGGAAGTCACCAGTTAGAGATGAGTCCCAGGAACATCCTTCATCTGCGGTTACAGTCCCCCAGGCAGCGGCAGCACGTCTCCAAACGCTGCCCCATGGGGCCTGTCAGTTCCTCCCCTCCCACCTCTGCCCCCTCCACTACGTGCCCTCCCCGTCCCCTTCCCCATCGAACAAGGGACGTCATGCCATCGAGGTCGGAGACTGACTCATCTGTACTCGCATGGACTGGACGCTGTTCAGGATCTTCTTCTGGTGCCCAGCCAAAGTCACCCCTATTCTCAAGAGGTCTCTGTAAGACAGACAGACAGACAAATATCAGTGGGCAGCTGAGGGCTGGTGCATCTGTTTTGCTGTCTCTAGGTGTGGTGAGGGATGTAAACTCAGCTGGTCCATGCCTTTCAGCAGCAAAACAGTCAGAGAGCCCAAGTGCAGCCCTGTGAGCATCACTGGGGGCAAGGTGGGACCAAGAGCAGGGAGACACCCGTATACTGACCCCCAGATGGTGAACGTGGCCACCTCCAGACTCAGGGTGCTTCTGCTGACCAGTGTGATGGATGCTTACCCCCTTCCTCTGCCTTGAACTGACCTTCCTACCACCCTGCAACCCCAACCTGCCCCAGGCAGCAGCCAGCTTCCAGGCAGCCCTGGCACGGCACCCAACTTACTCCGATGTCATCTGGGCAACAAGCTGCAGGGAGGTGAAGCCAGCAGTCAGGAAGCTGTCTCGGTACTGGCTCATCTTCACAGCGCTTAGCCAGTCATCTACTGAGGTAAAGGCAGTGAAGTCGGGGATGGAGCGGTCAAGGAGGGGCTGAGAAGGCCTGCAAGAGGACACACCGCTGGGGACAAGCCTGGCCAGCACCAAGGGGCTGCCATCCAAGAGCCCAGCCAGTGCACAGATGCCCTCCCCAACCCATCCCCTGTGCCCTTGTGCTTCCCCCGGCACTGCCCTGCTCCTACCACAAGCCTGAGACAAGGAAGGCCATGAGGAACGCCTGTCCCGTGGGAACACCGCTCTGCCGAGCAGCACTTTACAACCCCACACTTTGTAATCCAGCTGCAGGAGCTGCAGGGACAGAAGCACTGGCAGAGCAGACACTGCACCCGTACGGTCACACGCCATAAAGAATCAATAGCAAAGAATTATTGCTGTTGCTTGACTGAAAACTATGTGTTCTTTGTCTGCCTGTCAGGCAGAGCAAAGACAGAAATCCTCCACGCCTGGCAAACGATTGATGAATTCCTATCCTTCCGTCCAGCAGCACAAGCCACGCGGGGAGCCTGTCGCTATGGCTTGGGATGCAGACCTGAGAGCATCCCCCACGTGCTGGGAGACTCACACAGCGGTGATGGTAGCCACAGTTTTGAGGCTTGCCGGGTTGCGGATCATTTTATCCAGGGTGTTGACTATCTCGGTGAAGCGAGGACGGGTGTTGCGGTCCTTCTGCCAGCAGTCCAGCATCAGCTGGTGCAGGGCAGCAGGACAGTCCATGGGTGGAGGGAGACGATAATCCTGCTCGATGGCATTGATGACCTGCAGGGCAGCAGAGGAGAAAGCAGCATGTGAGGACACAAGGCTTGGAGATCTCATGTAGGAGGAAGATGCAGACAGAGCAGTGGGTGAGCCACCCCTGCTACTCCTCATTCTGAGCCAAGCTCCTTGTGCGGGCAGAGGGGCTACAGGCAGTGCTGCCACAGGCTGGGAAGGCAGCTGCCAGCCCATCTGATCATCAGCAAAGGGAGCAGGAGGAGATGCTCCTGGCTCCGACGGAGCTGGGGCCCTCAGAGGTTAATCTCTGCTCTGATGCTCCACGAACCGCAGTTCCTCTCTGCAGAGAGCTGCCACTCATTATCTCAGCAGATCGCATTGGAGTACAGCAGTCCAACTACCAAAGCTCT